AAAAAAAAAAAAAAAAAAAAAAAAAAAAAAAAAAAAAAAAAAAAGAGCATCTAATGCATAGTCCGACAGCTCATCCCAACCCGCTCCGCATTATATATTATATTTATATTATATAATAAATTAAATATTATTTTCCTTTTCCCCTCTCTTTTCTCTTTCCTTTCTCACTGGGGGCACTCCCATTTTGATATCTCCACGCACCCCAATCCTTTCCTTATTATTTAATAATTTAATTATATTATATATATATATATATATATATATATATATATATATATATTCACATGAAATTCATGATCTTATCCACCCCACGCTCCACATTCTCTCTGCCACACTCTGCTTCATCAAAGTCTTCCCATGTTGTTTAATTAAATTTTTTAATTAAAAATGCGTGAAAATATTCCTTTATTTTTCCTTTAAATAATAATGTGTGAAGAATTTATATACTTTAAATATTAGATGCCTTTTCAATTTATTTTAAGCAACCCATTGCCGCTGGAACCAAAACGAATCCAACGTCAAAAACTTGGCTGAAGGAGAAAATTAGATACAAAAAAAAGTGGAAACTATGTAAGAGTGGAAAGAAATAACCAAGCTGTCCACCAGTTCATTTCCTTTTTTCTTTTAATTATTTAATTAATTCCACCCGTCCCAAATATGTTAATCGTAACGGATCAAACCCACCGAGCATTCATTATAACGGTATAAAAATCTCTCTCTAGTACGCGTTTTAAAACTTTGAGGAAAAATCTAAATACCATTGTTAGCAATGGACTTTAGTTGTTTCTAATGGTATCAGAGCTAATGAGGTATTGTTCGGAATAAAACTAAACCCTATCCATAGTAGACGCATTTTAAAACCTTGGGGACAAGCCCGAAAAGATTTGCTAGCAGTGAACTTGAGTTGTTACAATTTGACTATGTTGGACTAGTGATAATATTTTAATAAATAGATGCTACATTAATAATTAGAATATCATAAAACTCCAATATCTAGCTGGAATGCATCACTAACATTCTTAATCTTTCAATCTTAAAAATACGGTAGAGTCGAGTTGGATTGTAACCCTATTTTCATATTGATCCGTCAAACTCGACAAAAAAATTATCAATTTATTGATAATCTAAAACATCATTTATAAGGGTACGAAAACTTTCTCCTAACAGACGTATTTTAAAGTCTTGAAGGAAAGCTCAAGCCCAAAAAGATAATATCTGCTCGTGGTGGATCTGAGCGGTTACAAATTCAAAAAACTAACCGCGGTAATATTTGAGAGATGAGGAGGGTAGGAGAGGGCGGATTTGATTAGGTTGATGGAGTAAAAAGTAAAAAAGTAAAGAAAAAAGTGTTAAAGAGTAAAAAAGAAAAGGGGGGGGGGGGTTGAAGA